CATACTGTCAGCAAATAATTATTCTTTGAACATGAGTCAATATGGATGCAATGATGAATGGCAGACAGCATCCTCCAAAATGGTGAGACAGAATAATTTCAGCTGCAAATAATGCTTCTAACCAAAACTTGGCTACTGAATCAATGACCAAGTTGAAGTCAGTGTTTGGCAAACATCATTGCAGCAATACATTTATCAAAGAAGGTAGATATTTTTTATTTCCTTTGGGAAAGTGACACTTAATATTCAAAATACGATGCATGTAAAACAAGTGCTAAACATAGGAATATCCTAGGCCAACCATTTTAATTTTTTGCTTGGAAATAACTGAATCTTATAAAATTCAAAACTCTAAGGTGAATCTTTCGTTGTCCTGTATCAATGCAAATGATGATTGCTATTTCACTGACAGCAGTGCTATCTTCCATAAAAGCCATCTCTGGTTAAAACAGCACTAGATCATAGCTAGAATAAGATAATTTAAAGCAGGTTGGTTTTGCTTCTAATTAAATAGCATCTGGTGTAATTCTTTACCTTGTAGCATTGTTCTTTGTAGACCTTGATGCTCATCTGTCCAGTGGACTGCTGCCATGACTAACAGCCCTGGCGCCAGTGCATATAGACTTGTTCAAAGCCTGCAGAAAGCACTGGATAACAACAATCCACCCATCTGGATTGTCAACACTAAAGAAGCAGACGTCTGCCAGCGTAATTTGGCTGACTCTGACAGGCGCTCATTTATGGGGATTACCAGGCATGCTGGCATGAGGGACATGGTATGTCCAGAAAGTGAGTTGATTTCTCCTGGACAGCTTCCATCAAAATCTCCAGTGTGACTGCCATTCTGTGCAGGAGCTCTTGAGAGCTTTTATAAGTATCTGGCTGTACTTTTGAGTATCAGTGGTAGCACAGTCTCTTCTGCAGACAAAGGTAATACACAGTAGAAACTGTATGATTAACAGCCTGCAATTCCTCTTCCTCAGAGTCTGTGAGACAGATGTTTCAATCATACACAAAGTTCACATACTTGGGATGAAAAAGACCTTACTGGAATTGATATAACAGAAGCAGGTACAATTTGGTTAGATTGCTGGCATAGATAATAAAGAAAATATGTTCAAGGATATGAGAGTCACTAAATCATAACATGACTCCTAGACCTTGGATAACTACCACAAGCATTGCAATAATTAAGAGAACACACATATTGTAACGTTCTGTACCACTGTTCTAAGACCATAGGAATGGCAGGAGTAACATCACAGAATGGTTTGGGTTGGAAAGAACCTTAAAGATTATCTGGTTCCGACCCCTTGTTGCTAGGGTAAAGAGTAGAACAGCCAAAATCACAAACTGGTATGGCAAACCAGAGAGAGAACACTTGGTGAGTCCCTTTGTAAGTTTTAAATTTTACTTCACAGTAACAAAACTAAAAGATAAGTGATTCTTTTTCCAGAATGCACAAGGAGAAACCCAGCTCCACACCGTAGGTATGTGGGCTCAGCTTACCATGTGAAAACTACACTAGAGCATTTCCGTGTGTAAACAGCTCTGACGTCTGTGATTATTTAAAAAACTTGCAAAACAGCATATCTCAAAAATGTACCTGACATCCAAAACAGTATAAAAATATTTCATGGACTCATAATGCAACATTATTTTTCCATAACAACCAAGATTCCAAGCAGCTGAGACTCATACTCTGTCATAAGAAAAAAGCATTAGTAGAAACAATTCAGATGAAAATACAATTGTGTTTAAAAGAGACTGAAATGCAAAAATAAAAAACTAAAATCAAACAAAAACCTAAATAAAAGTTGATATTATTGGTAAAAAAACCCAGGTGACAGACAGTAAATTATTTGGATTTTGACGAAGTGCCAATCACTTGCTCTCCCAAAAAGAAATTGCATAGAGTTGGATTTTCCTCTATCTCCATGAGAGCAGCTTCTTATCACACAAATTGACTCAGAGGATCCAGCTCAGTAAGAGAAACTGGACTGACATGTGTGGGACACAACTACACCAATAGCATTCACGGATAATATGGGCAATACTGATAATAACATTCCTTTACGTTACCCCGGCCCCTTTCACATAATAGCAAAGAGAACTGCTGCTCCTCTTGAACGCCAGCTGTGGTCAGTCTTACAACCACAGTGCACCAGAAAGACCATTCACTGCCATTTAGGGGGCTTAATCCACCAATGGCTCCAGCACCATTGGTAAAGAACTGTCAAGAATGAATATTCCTAAAAAACTTCTGCCTTCATGTTAGATATGCAAAATAAATGACTCACCTCAACACTACCAAAACCACATGAACAGTAAAGGTGAAGAGTAGAAATCACAGGAATTTTAGCAGGCTTGCACTAGATAGCCAGCTTCAAAGCCTTTCACGGACATCCTGTGCTCAAATGAAGCTCAAAATTGCAGTTGCACCACCTGCTTTTTCCTGTATTTTGTTTCTTGGCTGAAATCCTCTCATCTGCCTGCAAAACAAAGGGGCCCAGTCTTTCTTATTCTTTATTGTTCTCATAAGGAAGTTCCTGCTGTCGGCTGGTCACAGAATAATTGACTGTGCCTTGTCCACAACAATATTGTGGACTTCTCTCAGAAAAGCAGATTTTTATATGAAAACAGAATATTTCACTATCACCATTTTTTTCTTAATTAAGACACTAGTATGGCTTGAGGAATCTCCCTTCCTCTTTCCACTTCATTGATTAACTGGACATCCTTAATAGACTGACATAAGGACTGTTTTGCAAAAAGTCCTTCAGAAGAAGAAACTTAGTTGCTGGGGGAGGGGGAGACACATTTTAGAGGGGGGTTAATTTATTTTTAAAAAGTGAATCAATTCATTCTAAACATAGCATATTGGCAAACTATTCCTAGAAGAACAGACTATTTTATATAATAGAAATAATTCTAAAAAATTAGAGAGTGACCAATATGCTTATCACTAACTTTGCTAGAGGAAACTATGCATAAATTTTTCTCTTCTGCTGCTGCACAGTTCCTGAAGAGGTATTTGCATTTTTATGCACTTCCTCCAAATGAAATTCTGAAATGCCTTTCAAAACAAACAGCAGAAAATATTTTAAAGTCTTCCCAACTGTGAAATTAATTTGTAACACAAACAAGTATAATATTTCATTCTATAAATACAAAGACTATAATTCAACAGAGGACTGAAATGGATACCCTGGATCTTGGGTAGAAATTTGGTAAAAATAATCTAGTTTGTGTGGTTTCACCCCCATCCTTTTCTTGTACATTCTCCTGATGCATTTATAGAGGATGACTTTTAAGCTCTCCAAATATTTAGAGCTGTGCTCCTGCAAAAGTCCAGAGCTGTCCTGTTATATGCAGCATTGTGCTGATTTCATGCTAAATCAATTTGCTGATTCCAGGTGACTATCAGCTCATCAAAAGGAACAACAAAAACAGTGATAGGCAAGAGTCTTGATTTCCTACAGTCAATAATAAAGTGTGCTAACTAGCTCTTCTCTGCCCCATGAACTGCTGATACGCTCTTTCCATTATTAGCACAGAAAATCTCCACTTTAACACCTGCTTGTTGGGGTGGGTGGGAGGGGTTTGGAACTAAAACACTGAGGTATTTAGACAAACCAATACATGAGAAGGGATTAGTATTTCCACAACTCAGACTGAAATACAGCTGTTTGTATAAAATGTACAAGATCCAAACTAAAAACAAAACAAACAAACAAGCCCAGACCACATTTTAAAATCAGAAGTAGTAAGCCACTGGGAAAATGAACATTGACCAAATATTTTTGTGTTTTAAGATTCATTAAAATGATTTATTAAGGTTGCTCAAACAGTTTCTTTTGTATTGTGAAGTTTTTCAATTCTGATAATAGAGAATAATTGACTTTATACAATACATACCTGCTTTATTTATTCTTCAGCCAGTACTAGGCATTAGGTTCAAGCATTTGTACATGGCAATTACAGTAGCTACAAGACCAAATGAAACTATTACAACTGTTTTGTAATCCATTCCTAGAAAAACTCAAAATGAGTATAGAGAAATTCCAGGCATGTTATCACCTAGATTTAATTTACTTACATACAACACATGAGATTTCAGATGTTAAGAGCTCATATTTTGTTGAAACTAGATGCAAAGTAAAAGCAAGAACTTCTCAAAATGATTGTTATTGTTGTGAAAGTAACAATATTATATGGGCTAATATAGACTAAAGAATAAAAAAAAAATCCCAGGTAATAGTAAAACAGAACCTGATGTATTAAAACATTTTGCATATTTACTAAAATTAAAAGTTGCAAGATGGAGAAATAAAAGTGTAGACATCAGAGTTCGAGGATTCCCAAAGGCATTATGAAGAGCTGTACACAACAGGCATTGCAAATCTGCAGGTGCACAAATGTTTTCTGCCTATTCAGAGCAGTTGCTAAGTCATTGAATTTACAGACATGTGCTCTGAATTTCTAGGCAGCCTAATTAGAAGTTTCTACTCATCATCACCAGAATCACCTTGGATCTGCAACAGACCTTAAAAATTAACAATGACTTCAAGAAGCACTAGAAGATCTTGGGGCAAGTACCATAAGTTCTTTCACAGACATCAACTTGTGTCTCATAGCAGACAACGAGACAGACGCTGTAGATGGACTTCCTGAATGATCCAGGTCAGTTGTACTCATTGTAGCTGTGCTTTGTATTAAATGACAGAAGCATTTGAAAGTGAGCCCTGTGTGAGATGCTGCACACCTGTGGGTGCCAGAGCTTCAGAGGAGCAGAGGCTCCTGTCACCTACCCAATTATTGGGCTGATTGCTTGTTCTCCAACTCTTAATTGGTAGACCAACATATAATAAAGAACAGCTTGCTGCCAACACAGCTCCAAAGCACTCCTCCTGTTCTGCCAAGGCTGAGCTAAATGAAAAGTACCTGCAACAGAGCATACATGGCTTTTGCTTTATTAATTGAACAAAACTGTACAATTAATTGAAAAAAACTGTACAAATACTTAGAGTGAGGGAAAAATATAAATTAGCAAACAGATTGGATGAGAATTATCAAACCATATACAATCAACTCAAATTTGTCTCCTCTGTAGACAGGTAATTAAAGTCAAAGGAAAGAAAACATTTCAACTGCCCAAAGGCAAGTACAAGCCCTACAGCAAGGAAATGAAAACAATAAGAAGCAACAATTCTGTTTGTGAGAGATGCTTTGCCTGGAAAGGATTAAATGCACTTTCCTCATTTGGAGAAAAAGAGGGTACCAAAAATGTTTCTGAGTCAAAATCTGCTTAGTCCAGCATGACATATTTTCCTACAAAACATCTTACCAAGAAGTTACTTTGGAAAAGCAGGTGCTTTTCCACAAAGTTTAGCAGGGAACACTGGCCAATTTCCCAATGCTTTGCCTTGAATAGCAGCATGTTTAGTTCCCCCCATTAGGCTAAAGGATAAAACATGAAGTACTAGTTAAGAGGCACACAACCACTGAATGTTTCTATCACTGACATGAAGAGATAAGCTAAATTTCAGCTGGCCCTATTTGCTTTCCAGCCAAGGAAGAAAACCCCTAAATGAAACAAAAACAGCCAACAACAACAAACCATCCCCACACAACAACAACAGTATGCAGAAACTTCTACATTTCCTTCCACAGGGTAATAGATACATTTCAAAGACATTTTAAATTAAAAACTGAAGTTTACTTTTCTTTCTACATTATTAGCAAGCATATTTGACTATGTTATATTTGTAGAAGAGAAAGGTCTACTTTCAATAAGAAAATACAAATGTTGATGAGGTGCTAATAAATATTTCTAACCATTCACTCTGTATAATGCAACCTGACATAATAGACATCAAAATACAAATTAATTATTTCACCTTTAACAAGCAGTCTAAGCTATCATCAAAGCTCAAGAATTTCAGCTCTCCAGCGAATCCAGTTTTGATCAAAAGCTATGATACATTACACCTTTACAACAGTCCTGCTTACTTATGTAGATGAGTTCCTCTTCTTAAATTGCCTTAACCAGAGGTAATTCTTTATAAACAACACAAATGGACATCACTTTCTCTGTGAACTTTGTTATACTGATCCACCAAAGGGAACTAATCTCTTGTAAAAACACACAAAGAAACAAATTAGGTACGACAAAGAAATATTTTACTTCTAAACAGGTGGGATTAGAAGGATTATAGAAAAGGTTACTCCTCAATATGAGTCATTTTAAAAGAATGAACTCATCAGCCACTGAAGTAGTTTCCATTCAACCTGTAAAATATATAAAGTGTGCCATTACAGGAATGAAAAACAATTATTTACCACTGGAGAAGTTCTTAGCATTTGAGAAGTGACAAACCTCTATGCAAGCATTAAATAACTAAAAAATGTACATCTCATCATATATCCTAACGCTCTCCTTTCTCTCTCTCTTTTCTCAAGGTTTTCTGTTTTCAGTTTCAAAATCTCTGCAAGGGATAGAAGATGAAGATATGCTGCTACCTACATTAAATCTAGGAAAAACTCTACAAAACAGAGACAAACCTATGAACAGGGGAGCTATACCTTTGCTGAAGTACTACAAGACTGAAGACCGCAGTGCTTTCAATGATAAGAACGCTGGAAACATGAAGTTTTCGGTGAGTTCAGTTTTGAATTTTGGCTTAATAGTAAAACTGAAATTCATTTATACCTTTTTAGAAAAAAAGCACAACAATTTAAAGCAATAACCAGGTAAATACACAAAAATACCAGTTTACATAACATAGTAAAGAAAATAAAATTTAAACTCTATATATCTAATGCAAAGATTCTAAATGCGTAACTTTGAGAGTTGAATTAAATCTGATTTCCACAGATAGTAGCCAAAATTTGGAGGATGGGGGGTGGGGGAGGAGGGGTGTGGAGGGGAGGAGAAGGAACCTGTATTTATAGTTGATGCATGCCCCCATATGCAGCAATAGGTTTTTAACTTTGCCAAACACAAGACTCCTTATTTAATTATGTCCATTAAACCATTTTTACCAAAGATGTAATGCATATCATTACTTTTAAGGTATGATTCTGAAACATAAAACAACTGCATTGTTGAAGTATAAAGTACAAAATGTGTGTGAACACAACTGACTTTATTTAAAGATAAACCTCTTGTCTTCCCTCAAAACAGGACAGAGGCTCCAGACATGATTTCTTCAATCATGTTATGCCAATCAACTTAGGTAGAAATCAACTACCTTATCCTGCACTGAAGGGAATCATGGCTTTTCCAGTTGACACTGAAATTCAAAATATTGAGTCAATACAGGAAAGAGAGACCACAGAGGAAGAAAATTCAGCTAAATTTCCTATAGGAAGAAGAGATTTTGACAGTAAATACATTTTATTTTTACACAAAAAATTATTTCATTCTGGTAAAGTACACTGCAATGTCAATATAGCAATTTGGTAAAGGTACATTTAGAGACTCCATTATTGTTATGATTTGGTGCACAGGGGAGGGAGCATTTGTTAAATTAATATTTCCAGAAGCCATAAGAATTATGGTTCTTTGATGATTTAAACTTTCAGGCTCTCTTTTTCTTTCCCTGTAGTCCTCAGGTGTATGCTGGGAAGAGTCTATCGACCTTGTTGGCAAGTGTGAAAACTACTCATCTCTCACCATCTCTGAAGATTAAACATTTCATTCTGAATTTAACGTAATTTGAAGTTACTGAGTGTTAGCATAGCTGTACATATCCATCCAAAAATAATTTTTTGGATTGCATTGCAGAGGAATACATAATTCATTACCAAAAGTAACAGTGTAATTATTAACAATGTATTGTTATTAAAAAATAAAATACTTCAGCATAATCCAGACTTGTAAGTAGTTGTCTAATATAATACACAAGCTGCTTTCAGTTATTTATGTATGAAAGGAAGTAATTCATTAATTTCACCTGTTTTCTTGCAATATTTTATAAGTGTCAACATAGCATGTATGTGAAAACAAAAACTTAGACTTGAAAAAAGCGAGTTAATTTTGCCTGACCAGCAATCAGCTTATTCTTACTTGCAGCTTTGGTCTGTTTTCTTTTTCCACCAGTTTTGCTGTTCAATTCCTTCTTAGAGCTGTCTGAAGTCTTAAGTCTTTTAGTAATTTTTTGCAAAGATGGTTCACTTTCCTTGTCACAGATTATTTTGCCGTTATTCAAATCCATCTGTTCATTCCCAGAGTTCTTGTTCCTTGGCTGACAACTCAGCTTTCCCATCTCTGTATAACTTCTAGTCTGGTGAACACTTTCAGAAATAGTTCCAAGCCCTAGTACATCAAGACATGAATTTGTACCTTCTGTCATGTAAGAATATCAAAAATATATGTGAGGAAATAAAAAGTTACCTGGGATCATACATCCTTTTTCTATAAGGACTGCCATGATATTTCTTTTTAAAATCAAAAGTATTGTATTACCAATAAAACAAGCAATGCTGGTCATTGCTATTACATTTGCTATGTGTCCATAAGTGCATCGCCAATTCAAAATTACATTGCTCAAAAACATATAATAAATAACATAGGGAACTGGATTTATAACTTTAAGATGTTGGAAGAGAAGGTTAAAGGGCATAAAAATTTTATATATTATGAAGTTTGTAGTGGAGTAAAATGAATTTTCCCCCTTTTAATGGCAAATATATAAATTTCACTTGGCTTACTTCTGTAGAAAAAGATCATGTCATATATGCAATATATATCACTTTTTTACCTCAAGATAGCATCAACATGTTTTTCAAACATTTATATTCTCAAAGCAATGATATTACAATTTTATTGCAAAAAGATTTAACTGGCATATGAGACATTGAGAGCAATGAGACATTTTTGTTCTTTTTCTTGAAAACATTTGAGTTTTACTGAAGACTTTTTGGATAGTATTTAAAGTATTACCCATCACATTTATTTATTCAATCCTACCACAGCTTACCTGTGCACTTTCCAGCTTCTAAATGTTGCTTTGGTACAGGATATTTGCAGGTTGGAATTGCATGGGAATGCTGACCACTCATTTCACTCAAATCATTTTTATATGTACAGGCAAACTGGGATTTAATTGAAGGTTGCTTCATCTGCAAATACCAATCTGCTATTAGCTTTCATTATTCACAAAAGCTAAAAGACAACACCTGCAAGACTAGTATAATAATGAGCTTTCCCATTCTCTTCACTTAAAATACCAGAAAAATGGATATGCTCACATTAAAAAAGAAAATTAGATATTCATTTACAAAGCACAAGGTCTTTCAAGAATAATTAGTTATTATTCTATTAAAAGTACTAAAATCATTCAAAAATCTTTTTTCAGCTCTTTCAGAAAGGTACGCATTAACTCTTACAGCTTCAAATTAAAGTTTTCTTAAGTTAGCCCCATCTTCTGATAGACTCCACTGGTTTGAGTAGGTGGTGTAGCTACTACAGTCAATTTTCATACTTCTGCAGCTCATCATCTATAATTATATCTGAAAGGGGAATATCAAGTACTATTTCAGATTTCCCATTTATTCACAAAATGAAGCCATTTTACCATTGAATGCCAATGTCTAGCTTCACATCTTCCAAAACAAGCCCGTTTAATTCAAGTCACAGGTAAAATTTCCTCAGCTTATTAAGTTACAGCTTTACATCAGCTGAGAATTTCAGGTCAAGCTTTGTACTTTCTGTACAATTGGCCATAAATTCTGTAAGTTCTGCAAGCCATATTCTGCCCTGACTTCCATTTGAAAGTGCACTGGATTATATGAATTATATTGAAAGCAGTAACAGGGAGCAGATAACTACAATAAACCTGGATTTTTAGCTAATAATTCTATCTCAAAAGCACAGGCGAATTTAAATAAATTTGAGCTGAACAGGTGCTACAGTAAAATCATCAGAGAAAAGAGGAAGTAATAAACGCTGTTACAAAATAGATATTACTAGATAAACAGATAGGAGTGATTTGTTGAATAAGAGGTTTACAGACACTTTTCTGATTAGAAGGTTTGCACTATGGAAGTCTACTTTTCTTCTTAGCACAAGCAAGATTAAACCTCACAGTTCAGATTTGACCCTCAGAGATATAATTTTCTTCTAACTCAAATTCTCATATTAAGACAAAACAAAAGAGAATAATGTTCCCAGAAACCTCATTTCACAGAGAATTTAGTCCACAAAAATCAGTCACAATTGATGCCACTTTGATCAGATCCTGCTTTCATATATATGGGGTAACAGACTTGAGCTTATAGCTGAGATGTAACCTAGATATCTCTTCATGGTAGTGCTGTTGGCCAAGTGAATACACTGAGTATTTGGAGAAATACCTCATTCATTTACAGAAGTAGTTTATCTTCCTGGTTTAATATGCCTGGACATACATAGTTTTACTTTAACACTCAGTATTCCCTTCAAGGGTCAAAGAGACCAAGTTTTCCTTGTTGTCAATCACTCCCAAACAACAATTTATTTGGGCCAGATAACAGACTGGGAAAGAAAAGGAGATTTAACAGGGCAAACTAGCAAGCCTGACTCTCAACAACTCAAATCTCTTAACAGTGTTAATCTCAAAATCTTAAAACTCAGAAGTGTTAATTTACTTTCTACTTTAAAATATTTACCACAAAATAAGAACTACATACACAAACATTTACAAGGTTTGTAGGCTTCAAGATTATGCCTCAGCTCAATGACTCTAAGTAGAATTAGACAATATTAACCATCAACCCCTGGCCCTGCACAGGACACCTCAAGAATCACACCACATGTCAGAGAGCATTGTCCAAACACTTCTTGAATTCCGTCAGGCTCGGTAGTGCAACCATTGCCCTGGGAAGACTGTTCCAGTGCCCAATCAACATTCAGGTGAACAACTTTTTCCTAATATCCAATCTAACCTCTTCATATAGCTTAATATCATTCCCTTGTGTCCTATTGCTGGTCACTTGACAGAAGAGATCAGAGTCTGCACCTCCTCTTCCCTCTGTGAAGAAGCTACAGACTGTGTAAGTCGTTATACTCTTTTCAGAAAGGGTTTTGAAGGATAGAGCCATTGTCTAGCTTAAATTTTGAACATAATATTGTACAATTACAATATTAAGATAAGGGGCTTGCATTTCCTTTGAACTTCAGGTCACTGTACTTTTAATGAAAAATAATTTCCAGTATTTGATATGCTTCTGAAAAACTTCATCTTAATCCTTTAAAAATTTCTCAATTCTCAATTATTGCTCAGTAAAGGACACACATCAAAAATTATGCAACAATAACTTGAATGGCTTTCTATTACATTCATATTACAAGAGGCAAATAAGCTACAATTTTGCAAAGCTGATGAATCTAATAAATGCAGCATGAAGAACATAAAATTTGAGCAAGAAAGCCTGATAGTTATCATTCTATAACCAATAATAAATGCAGTTATTTTTTTATAAACAGTATTTCTTTTAACCACTCCCATCTGACCCTTCACTAATTCATTTTGTAGCAACAGAATATGCGGAGTCAAAAGACAGAAGTCAAGCTCAAATAATTAAAAACTCACAACATAAACCCATCTGTGTTTCAGCTTCACTGAAGCTTGAAATATGTCTATTGCATCACATACCACTCAGGCATTTGCAAACAGTACACAAAGCTCTACCAAATCAGACTGTGGATGCTAGAACTAATCTAGAGGGTGCATATATAGTCTAAGACAACTTGTTGAAGCAGACAAACTTTTCAACTAGTGTAGGAAGATATGTTCACTAGTATAAAAGACTGTATTACATTGGGTGAAGTAGCAATAAGCAAATTTTAACAGCCTGAAGACTGCACAAAGGAGCACAAGTCTAGAATTGAATTAAAGTAGAGCTTCACTGGAATGTTTTGAAGTAGAAAGATCAACCTAAAATTTACTTGAAGCACACAATAAAGCCTGTCAACTGTTTGAAAAAAGCTCTTAGAAAAAAATGCCCTTCAAGTTCTTTTACATTAAACTCCCTCAAATTCACTGCTTTAAGAGTGCTACTTCCATGACCTACAGCTCTGTAAGAGAAAAAATGTTGGGAGATCAGTTTGTTAACTAGGTAGCTGCACACAAATGGCATAGAATAAATTCAGTCTTATTACTCCTTTTCCTCTTCCCAAGCAAGTCAGATGTTGCTCTTATACCCATACAAAGAAAGAAATTCACCAGCATTTCAGGAAAAAAGAGGTTTACTGATACCACTCAAGCTGGGACAATGTAGGATAGAATTTACAACTGTTTGAGCACAAGCAGGTTGATTAGAAATACTAATAAGCAGCTAAAGCAGTACATTCTCCCACCTTGACATCTGTATGTAGAGAAACGTTTCAGTTGTTCAAGATGCCCATATAAAACATTCATTTTTATGTGAAATATTAATGGTGCATGCTCTATTTATTTTTAAAAGTTAGATTATAATCTGTTCCAGATCTCCTTCCAGCATCTGCATACAGACAGTACTGCCAATATTTAGTCCCTAAGAATGTTGAGATTTGGTTTTTATACACTGGAATGGCATAATAGAATTTGAAAACCTACATCAGTAACAACAAACACATGTTTTTATTTTCTAGCCAAACAACTAGAGTACTATTTGGAAGAGAAAAAGAGATAAAAAGAAAATTGATTTTCTCTATCCTTACCCTTGTCCTTTGAGAAAAAAAAATATTCAAGGTAAGTTGAAAGAGGATGTTGAAAAAGGGAAAGGAGTACAAAGGGAAGAGTAACAAAACAATAAATTATATCTTTGCCAAACCAAGGCATGTTATTAAAAAAATATCCTGGATAACTCAGGTAGTAGCAAGTTTTTATTGTACTGAAACTATTTTTTTTTAGCATGATATTCTACCAGCCTTTTGCTATTCCAAAATAACCTGCTACTGTTTTGAGAACATAAACCTCAAATCACCTCATCATTGGCTTTCAAACAAAGCTCACAGCTATGGATACTAAACAAAGTAGTTTAGGGGTCTTACAGAAATAAAAATGGCATTTTCTACACAAATGTGTAGAAACTGACACCAAGTCTTTCCTCAGATTTTGTGCTGGACCTTTTCATTCCCTTCACTTCTCTACTAAACTACCAGTCAACTTTGGTGTTCTCCATAATTACATTCCACTTAGGAAATAAATATTTCTTTCAACAATAGATGAGACTACTACCTGAAGAAGATTGTTTTCTCTGTTACTGTGACTTTTCTGTTCACAATTACAGTGGGCATACAAGAAAACTCTTGATAACTTCCTGTTGATAGTTTTCCAAGCCACAGTTTATTTGTACTGGAATCACAAATAGGCAAAACAACTCTCTCAAGTAACAGCATCTAGAGAACTAAGCAATGAAAAATAACAGCAGTGCATGAAGCTAGATATTAAGTCATTTTATAGAGACATGAAAAAGTCACATGAGAAAGGCAGACCAGGATTTCTGCTTTGTGGAGCTTTTTTCTTGGAAGGATTTCTATACACAGTAAAATTACAATGAACTTCAAGTATGCCAAGATTTGTTAGAGTTCTTAAGCCACAAATTCTTCTAAAAACTAGAACTGCAGCTATGTTTCCAACTGGAGGGAAATAGTGCCTCATATAGGAAAGGTTGTCTCCGGTTACATTAAGAAAAAAACACGCCAAACTACTGAAAGTCCTTGCAGCTGTTTCAGGGTAAGTCTGCTAACAATGCAGCAGGATTTCTAAAACAATATATCAAAAGGCCAAAAAGATCTTTATAAAAAAAAATCTGTTACACTCACATATGCTGCATGCTTACAGCCTAATAACTTTAGTTCTTCCTTTCTTAACTCCTAAAGTTCTCAGTTTCACTCAGTTCCATCAGCTCAGGAAAAGTATTTCACTGACAACTTGAAAGTCTCATTAATATTTTTCAGTGTAGCTCAAAGATGAAAATCTTATAATACAACATTTTTTGCTGTCCTAAGTTGCTCCTCAGCCTAAACAGTTGTCACAGCCTGTTCATTCCCCTCTCACCCCACTAAACAGGGCTTTAATAACCGATTGAAAACAACAAAATAACTAGTCAACAACCAGGTATCTACTCATTTCACTTAAATAGAAATACGGTTCAAAAAAGTAGAGATAAGGCTGGATGAACCCTTTTCAGATAAAATAACTCCCCAGACAAATTAAGCTTATGTATTCCTATAAAGCAGAAAGGAGTGGTAAGGACAGCTGACAACACTCACTACATGTTCCACAGACCTTTCTGAATTAAAGGCTCCTTCTACAAAACACCATTCACCAGAAGACATTTCACTTAAACAATAGATAAACTTGAAACTAAATTGTCTCCCAAAGGAAAACCAAGTTTCATATTCTTACTCTTACCTACTTCTGCTAGAGGAAATGAAACAATGCAACATGCTTCTTTCTCATCAAGCAGTGAGAGCAACAGCTTTGCTTCCAAACAAATGCCAATATAGTTAGGTGATCTTTCTGTGCTTCTTCCAGTATTTAATGAGGATTGAAAGACAAAAAATATTTCTTTGTCATTCACTGTTGCCAGGAATTTGTTTTGGCACAATGGAAATATCCACAAGATTTATTTTATTTCTGAGCACCAATCCCAGTTTATAGCTACCTGTTTATTTTATCCACTGTCCTTATTTTTAGTTTCTAAAACACTTACTGATGATGTGCCCTAGGTCTAAATATTATCAATCTGATAATTTCAATCTGAGAAATCAGTTCCTCTTAAGGAAAGAGTGGGCACAACAATTTTTTCTCTTGCTTTTTTAAGATTTTATTTTTAACTGAGGTGCTTCTCCTTTTAATTTTTAATTTTTCCTAAATTTCTTCATTTAGATAATAGGGACTTGGCATACAACCAAACTAATCACCACTACTGTGTTTTAATTCCCTTCTCAAATATCATGGAAAAAGTAATTTTTATGGAACAAGTCCCAATGAGACATCCTTAAATTATACTTTAGACTAACCACCTAACACCTATCAGAGGCAGCATGGTAAAAAGGCCCTTAGAGAAATATTTTGGAACTAAAGCTGCCACCACATATATGGCAAAAGAAACTTTTCTGAAGGATCAGATACTGAGAAGAAACATCATATTGCTATTCACCTATTCAAATAACAAATATCTGATATCTCTTCTGAATCAATTGCTAACATGAGTGCACTATGCATACCAAAATTTGTACCTGAATTTTACAACCTGTACACATTTCAAGATGGTTGCATAGAATAATAATGGAGACTGACACACAGTGTAAGAAGGTGGTAAATATTACTACAGCACTTGAGATCTATAGCCATGGACAAGGAATTCTTTGTGCTATATGCTGTACAGTAAGGATGGAACCAAATTTATTTTTACCAAGAGACAAGAGACATAATCCTAGACAAGAAATATATGGATTCACAGAGAAAGGAACTGAAATTAGTCACTGTAATGGGCATTTATCTCAACAAAAAAGCACTACTAAGACTTGGGGAGAGGTTGATTTAAAGGTACTGAAAAGTTTGAAAGGAGTATAATGAGTTCTGCAGATCTCTATGGGAAATCCCTTCAGCCAGAAGAGACAGTGTAAAAGGGTTTATCTGAAAATTAACAAATTAACAACAAAGACTGGTATTGCAGGTTGAATATAAGCAAGGACAGAGTAAAGCAGCAAAACAAATAATCAGTGGATTCAGACAGGCTAAAACAAGTAGTTTATATGTACCACAGCTTAAAGGAACAGACTGAGGTGCAAACAGTAGGATGGCATCTAGTGTCTAACCACTTTGATAATAGCTTTTTGAACAGCAATCTCAGTGAAGGAATGTAGGCCAAAGTTACAACTATCAAGTCCAAGACAAACACACAGCAGGACATCAAAAAGTAAAATGAACACCTAATAATTTACACTTGAGTAGACAGAGATAGAGAAAAACATTCCAGAAGCGTCATGGAGTGAAAATACAACACATACAATACCTTCTTCAGCATTATATAAATAAATCAGGAAAGGCAGACCTACCAGCTCAAGATCAAGAGTTAGGTATCCACAGGATAGTGTAGAATTAACAGAAGGTATCAGTTTTGACAAAAGGGACACTTAGTTTACACTGGATCTGTGAATTGTTGATAGCTGGAGTTCTGTTTGTAGATGCATGCAGCCACAAATAAGGTATAGAAAGAGAAAATAAGAGAAAGATAGGGACTTAAATGTCTTCATAAAAAAAATAAAAATAATATGGAGGAGTAGAAATATATAGAAAACTGTAGAAATTGTTAGAGAGGTAGAGAGAAAAAAAACCAGAAAAATAAAATGAAAGATCCACATTTTAAGAAAGAAATAGGATTTTATGTGAGAGGGTGGAAATCAAATATGAATAGCAGAGAACTGAATCTCACTTAAAAAGTCATTAGCTGTTCAGTAACAACCATTTTAGTTGACTCATTTTTGCTTGTTTCTATCAAATACAGGTCAAACCAGAAAATGTCTCAAAAGTGACAGGTAATTACTTTTAGGTAATTTTTGCACTTTGATACCAAACCCAGCTGTTCATGCATCCAATTACAAAACTTTCATTAAGATGAGAGAATGATCTATTTCAAGACTTTATGCAAACAACATGACATGTTTTCCTATTTGCTGAGTAAAGCTGCAATTTAAATACATTGTTTGCATAAAATCAAGATTCTTTATCAATTTTCCATAATTTGCCTATGAGTTTTAAATTCAATTTCACACTAATTAGAGCATGTATCCAAAATGCTCATCAGTGACCCAATCCAGAAAAAAGGACTCAAAATTAAGTTGGAGCATATTTAAAATGCATGCCAGAAATACTGACAGTGCTTTTCATTTTTATATCTTTCTACTTATACATGCACTATGTGTTCAAGTTTACCTAATGTCCAGTGAAAGATTTTCCATTGTTCTGTTCCAAAACCAGTTCTGATGGCTTAGAACACCTCTTTACATACGAATTAGATCTGTGTTTTTACATATTCTCAAGACTAAGTCTGTAAAAAATATTACGCTCTACTTTTATTTAGCTTTCTGTAGAAATACTGCAGAAAACAAGCTCTGCCTCCATCCATAGTCCCAACATTTAAGTTTGCCAATTTTAAGGAAAAATACTATGTAAAATGCAATGCACTGAAAGACAGAAATTTCCAGAAACGTTCTTTTGAATAGAGCCCCCCCACAATACCAACATACTCTTGTAAAATTCCATGTCATCTACAAAAAAAAACATTAGAACATTCATCTTATTTTTCACAAGCAATGTTATAGAAATGTCCTAAGTTTGGTACAAATAAAGAGCATCAAAAAAAAAGCAATGAAACCATCATTATTACTTTGTCAATGTCTGTTTTAGCTGAACTAAAATCAGGTGCCTGTATTCAGTTTTATCTTTGTTTTCAGATAGCTTGGTTTATTTCTGTGGTCCTGAAATACATGGATAGATTAATTCAGTACACCTTCACTAAAAAGTTGTCATTAGGAAGTACTTTTAAGTTTAAAGCCTCTCTCTTCTGGAGTTTTATATATTTATATTCATATTACAGTACTGCTCTACTGGGCCAATCACTCCAGGTTAATCACAAGCTTTAGCTATGGGATGAAAATCTCAAACACCTGGCTGAAATGTAACACTTTTATTTGATCAGTATAATTACAATGCCTCTATAGTTGCATAGCAGTTCCTACTGAGTACCTTAATTACTTTTTCATCCATGGATTTCAGAATACGTTGTCTAAGCGGTTTTGGAGAAGATCCATTGGATCGTGCTGGAGATCTATATTAAAAACAGGTAAGTATTTAGAACATGTAAAAGCAATTAATTAATAAATTTTTTCCATACCAAGTTCCTCAGAAACTGAGGCAAATACCTTTACTCTCCAAGCTTTACCTTGTTTCCTACCTTCCTAAGGAATGACATGTACTGTGAAAACTGATGATAGCATAAAAAAAACCAAACCTACAGTTCCAATTTCTGGTACTTGTTTTGCAGTGTGTTTCCAATATTGTAGTTCTGCAGACACAGTATTATTATTATTATTATTTGTAATGCTGGTGATGATCTTCTAAGCCACCATTCTACTTACACCCTGCTGAATAACATCTGGTTGATATTCAATATAGTTTTCCACATATTTGCAAACTTCTCAACAGAAATATCCACACAAAATGTTGCCACTCTTTTACATGTCATGCAATTAGTTACGTACATCAATGAAAAATTCAATGCCTATAATAATAAAATTAATGATGCATATAAAGGGGAATTTTTTGGTCTTGAAATAAGAACTAATCTATGAATTTTTAAGTAATTACTTCTGTCTTTACGGTCATGAAAGATCAATGTGCATATGAGAATAGGTTTTTGAACAATTAATTATTTAGCTCATTTTATCCATTATTTTCATAAATAAAATTTGATTTATTTAGCTTTTTCTTTATTTTATTTATTTCTAGTTGTCTGTGATGCAAAATTTCTGCCAGCCTTGCAATGGTTCTCCAGTTCTGATTGCCAAGATATGTAGCTTCAAAACAGCTTCATCATCTTACTGTCTACACTGTTGTTTTGGTTCATGAATCCTCTTTGTAACCAATAATGTCAAAATTTTCAGCATCCTGTTTTTTCAACAACTAATGACTCCTTAAAATCAGGGACCAAGTAAAGCATCACTGCTTCTTCAGTGCATTGATAGGTGAGCATCCTCGTAGGTACCCACAGAAATGGGTTTGAGTGTCCTTCATAGAGTTTGTGTGGCCCAGAAATGTACTATCTCAAAAAAATCCATGTTAAAAAAGTACCTTGAAAATACAGAAAATGCAAATGAAGACTTAGAAAACTTTTTGAAAACTCAAAACTGTTATAAAATTGCTTTCCCTTTACACTTAATCTCAGCACACTGCACATTGATTGTTTGCTTTAAGTAACATCAATGCTTTGCTGGACTCTCAGATCCTTAAAAAAAAACCCAAATAAACACAACAAAAGCAGTCTCCTAATACTCACCTAAAGAGAGTAAAAACAGAGGTGATGCCACACAAATTTAAACTTTCATTGTCACACAACAGATCCGCTTTGTTCTGTGTAGGAGGATTGACAGCTTCTTCATCCAGAAGAGCTAGCAAGACCTTTACAGTATCTCTGCCACAATATGCAGTGCCATGATTTATGGAATGCAATTTTGGCTGAAAGTAAATAAAAAAGGAACATAAAACAGCAAAGTTCAACTAGCCAGACCAATAGCTCACCTCTAAAATCAATTCACATTAGCACAAGGTGTGAGAACCCCCTCCTTTCCTTTTGCAGTAAGCCTTTATGGGGAATTTCTCCATGGGAAAGTTTCTCTCATCCCAAGTAGTTAGTGGAATTTAGATCTCTGATAGCTACGTGTATACACTGACCAGCAAGTCACACAAAAATATACAAATTTATGCTGAAATTGTGCAGCAGAAATGAACATTCTATTTTCTAGTACACAAACACATTCTGGTGAAGTCCAACCACTCTGACTAACAATCTGCTAAAGCAGTTGGTTAAAAGTGAGATTTCCATCAAGATTTGACAACAGAGGTACTTGGCACAATTTCCTGTTGTTTGGGTGAATTCCTCACGATTTTCCACAAAATAAAGAATTCCTTAAAGAAAAAAAAACAATCCGCATCTGGAAGTGCTCAATGCAACCATCAGCAGTACAGATGGAGAAATCCATAGCCACTGTGGGACTTAAAAAATTGAAAGTTAGCTATATTTTTCTTTAAAGGTACGAGGAATTCCACAGAGAAGTTTAGGGCTTAACACACAGTGGTAGTTTCATAAAAATTATTTGCTCTCTTATTTACTAATACACAGAAACACTGAATACTCTTAATTCTGAAGGGCAAGACAAGCAATGAACTGTATTTATCTAACCAGTTAACTGCTTTTAAACACAGTCTTGAAAAGATAATATTCTATTTTTCTCTCTATTTAATTACATCAGTGTATGTAGCTTTCAAGAAACCATAGCAACACATGTCAGCTACTATAAGTTATAATCAATAGCTAGAAATAGCAATTACAGAAATAGTTGTTACTTGGCTTTACAGAATTGTCCTATTTCAGTACCAACTTTTATTCTGAACCTCTTCAGTCATTACATCATCATAACAGATTTTCATTAAACATCATGTGTGTCACTGAATTTGTCTTAATGACAAAAGTACATATTTTGAGTCATCTTGCCTAATGAAACAAAAATGAAAAATCTTTAGAAATAACTTTCGGAAATCTCAAGTACTGCAACACCAGAAACTCACTCTGTATATTAACCATGGACAAAAGTCCAAGGCAAAATAAGAACTCTAGGTAAGACGACAAAAAGATCTCCGTAAGACAAAAAAAAAAATCTTGTTTGTAAATAAGCTTAATCATTAATTAAATTATTAAATAAAAGAGTTGCCCAGTTTTTCAAGGGTAGTGACCACTAGCTAATCCAGACTATTCTGGTTAGTTCCATCCAGAAGCACCAGCCAGATTCCATTTACAGTAGTAATTTTCTTAAGAAGAAATAAATCATAATTCCTATTAGTCACTTGTGCAGGCTTCAACACAAAATAGTGCTTCCTGCTGCATAAAGCAATAAATTTTCCTGGAGCTCCAGATTCTTATACACCAGGTATTTGCAGAAAAACTGAGCAATGATGGAAGAAAGCTGACACTGCCTGGAGAAATGCAAATATTTCTCTAATAAAGTTATGCTTTTCAGGTACATTTTATGAGGAAGCAGCTTTACCAGGAACTAGTGGAAGCATAATTTTCAACTCTATACTTAAGATCATGTTTTAAATTTGCACTCAAAGAAATTATTCAATCTCTGGCATAGGAAAAACCCTAACATCCTATCAAACCAGAACATAAATTGAACGTAGATCATTTTTTCTGAAAAGTTATAGCATCAGGGGGTTTACTTAAGTGAAACCAAACCAAAACCCCAAGCTCTATGCAAGAATCAGAAAAAACATTAAATCTTTGCTGTCCTGAGATCTTAATAGAACAATACAGATGCTCTAATTTCTAATAGAGTTTGAATTAATTTGGAAAACTTACTGGACTTTTTCAATTTTGCTTTCTTTTTTCTTTACAAAAGGCAACCTATCCCTCCATATGTTTAGTAAAACGTTCCCGCACACCAGTTTCACTAAAATATGCCACTAGATATCACTATCTTAACATTTGTCTAAGCTCCCTTTTCCACCCCTTCTCTCTGTGAATCATTATGCTTAAGGATAATTGTTAAAATAGACAATTCATCACAATCTTCACAGACTTCAATTACACCAACAAAAAGAATTCCCCACACCAAATAACAAACAGCACTGACAGGGCAAACAATTGACACATATTCTACCCCTCAGCCCTCCACAATTACAACAAAAAAAGTACATTTCCCCACACTTAGACTATTCTCTACCAATATTCAATCCACATTTTTCCTATTACCTCTCTCAACTACTGTCCTTATCTCTAATTCCTCAGGCCCCACAAAGGACTGTGCTGGCTGATCCCAGTTAGCTGCCAGGTGCTTGCCAAGCTGCTCTATTCTTCCTTCTCCTAAACAGAGCAGCAAGTGAAAAAATCTTGAAAAAGCTCATGGGAGTAAGATGAGGACAGGTGGTTCACTTACAAATCGCAGGCAAAATAGATTTGGCTCTATGAAATTTATCTAATTTACTGACATTTAATCATAATGGGACCCCTTCCTTCTTCCCAGACTCAACATCACTCTCAACTTTTCCACCTCCTTCCCTCAAATGGCACAGGGGGACAGGGAATGAGCTCCTAACACTTTGACCTTCTGCTTCTTCCTTATGCTCTCCCTCTTCTCCTCCATGTGGGATACCTCCCATGGGATACAGCCCTTCATGAACTTCTCCACTGCAGGTCCTCCTCACATCATCAGGATACAGCCACCTTTGCTATCGTCTGCCTCAACAAGGATACTGGTAAACATTTCTACAGAGTCCTTAGACTATGAACTTCTGGAGAACAGTAAGAAACAAATACCATTTTGGAAAAGCAATGGTGAATTTCTCTGAGGAATGAAATTTTAATAAAATGCTTTTACTTGGCTTATAATGAACTACATAATTTTTTTAAATTTTATTGGTAACACAAGTAGCTAAATAAGACAGAACTGATGACAGTTATCATTTTCTAAGACAAATAGAAGGATATGAAAGGGAAACAGGGAAATACACCGAACAAGCATTCATAGGAAACAGGAAATGAGATTGAAATATATATCAAACATACTCAGTAGAAAAACATGTTTAAACCAGCTTAACTGAAGGTTTGATTAAAATCTGTTAAAAAAATCTTTTGTTACCATGGCATAAATCCAATAATTTCACAAAACAAAGCATCCTAACAATTCTAAACACGTTCAATTCAAGGGTATCTATATATTTTTTTTTAAATTTGCTAGAAAAACAAATTACATTACATATCTTATACATCAACAGTGTAAAATAAAGTTGATTTTTTAATCACAAAAGATTATAATCTAAGCCTGAGTAGACTCACAGTACATGAACAACAAATAGAAATGCTGTATTATGCCCTCAACACCTCACTTACAGAATTTTCAATACCCCAATTCCTTCCATGAAAACAAATTCATTAATAGTTTCATTAATGTCATGAAACACTAAAACAGAAAAACTTACACATGATTTGTTTGGGGCTTTAATTCCCTTCCCACTACACATTTTACCATCCTTATTTCTTACATATTTCACCTTACTTTGAATGCCCTACCCTTTGAAATACTTGATGCTGTACTAATTAAAACCTGTGTATTTTAATAAAAAATTACTGATAGATGTTCTCAAATGTTAATTCTACTTTCATGAGGGTTTTTTTTTTTGTAAATTTGTTATACATTTACTGCTTTGAAATTAACAGCAAATCTGACACTTCTAATTATCTACATTTGTAACTGCACAACCAAATAAAGCTTTTAAGAGTATTTCATTTGCAATTTTGAAGTAAGAAATTTAGTTTATGTAAATCAACTGTTTGATAACCACAGTGTAATCCTCAAGTTTAAGTCTTTCAACAAGTTTAAAATCAGCATAGAGGAAATGACTACTCTTATACAGTTAGGGAAAAGATTATACTCTATAGATAGTCCTTGAAAAATGAAAAAGAAACAAAACAGGCAAAATATATTTACTTTCTTATAAAGCTAAATAATAAAAAAGAACAAAAGAAGTCCCATTACCCGTGCTGGACTGACTCCAGTAGTGCTAGCAGTCAAGGCTTCCTGTTGTGAATCGATAATATTTTTAATCTTCAAATCCAAATCTTGTACAACTTCCTCTACAGCCTGACAGAAAGGATCCCCATTGCTTCGGCCTTTTATCAAATGCATCTTCACTGTTGACAGAATTTGCCCCCCTGCGATTCTGAAAATAGGCACAGGGTCATCTCCACATTAATCTTGGCAACACTTTAGTATACCTATTAATGCTGAACATAGCCAGCCTTCACTGTTCATCAGAGAGAACTGCTTTGATCTTTCAAATCAAGCAGCAGTATAGACGTATTGTCCAACACAACAGTTTGCTAAAATAAAAAAAAGATTACAAGCAAAGTAATGAATTAAGCATTTAGTAATACTCTGAGCTGCAATACAAAACTAACTTCTCATTAGAAGTGCAAAGAAAAGTACTTTCTTAAAACCTACATTTATGGTTTTGCTCAAACTGTCGAGTATAAACAAAATTTTTCACACAAACATGCAGTCCTGTTTAATATCCTATTAGATCTGAGTCTTTTCTGCTTTGTGAAGTTGCTTCAAAATCCTAATCTTCTTTCAATTTTATTTAAATAGATAGTAATTAGACCACATGAACATGTCTATTAGCTATAAAGGCACACTCTATTAATCTCTTTCTTCAGCAAACGTGACTGACTACATTAATTAAGATTTTGTGGAAGAAGGAAAAAGCTCCTTGAGTTACAAGCTTAACTTTTTCCAGTAGCTAAACAAAACAGTATGTTTCACCATTGCTTGAGCTTGGGCAAAGAAAAAAAAACATCATAAGGACCACTCAGCCCTCCTGTATAATAATACATCTCTTCCCAAAAATTTCTTTTTATTGCTAAATTAGGTTTACAGTCCACATCAAAGCAGAAATGTAGCATCCTGGGCTGCTATTGGCACCACCAGTATAATTTTTATATTCATTTATGATGCTGTAAATGACAGTTCTGTCAAAACCCCAAAGCAATGACTTCATTACTCCAGGTCACATAGCCAAGAGTGACATGATGACTCAGTTTTCAACTTCCTCCATGTTCAACTTCCTTCACGCTCCTGCAAGCTTGCCCTAAAAAGGGTATCTTACAAATGCAAATAAAGATGTATTTTGTATACATTAAATAATGAAGATAAATCTTAGAATTCAATTGGGAGAAATGTTATCAAATTAAACTCTGCATGTCTACATTCATATAAAATGTAAAATAATTAGGCAGAACTAGGTAAGAATAGGAACTGAGACAGGAAAAATAGTTTGTTTATATTGTTTCCACTTAAAATACATGGAAGGAACTGGGCCAGGGACCTTACTGTTTTGATTTATTCTGGCTGAACAAGACTCCTGTAAATAACTTGAAAAACCTGACACGAGCATGAAATTCGGGG